TTTTTTTTGGGACGCCTCCCCTTTCATCTTCCCCCACCCCCATCGAGGAGCAGCAGTGTCGATTTTTCCGTACTATATTAGGATCCATGCAAAAAAAAGTTATAAAAAAAGAAAAAAAGAAAGAAGTGAGGTTCCTCTACCTCTGGCTATAGCTCGAGGTCCCTTCTAGCGGTTAGGCGGATGAGCGGTTTTGGTGGGAAGAGAGGAGGCGGTTAGCTCTCTTCGGGTTCTGCACTTGGTCAGGAGTTGTATGTAACGGAGGGATAGCATCGAGATCATTACCTGTTATTATTAATAATTATTTTCTAATATTTATTAATAGTTTTTTTCTAATATTTTATCCGAAGCTTGATTCGATTGGTGAATATTCATTTCTTTTTTGTTCTTTTTTTTTTTTTTTCCATTCCTTCTGGGTCATAAATTTGGTCTGTCAGCAGCGATTTTCCAAGGAGAGTTGTAATATTGTTCTTTCTTTCATTAGAAAAAAGAAGGAATGAATTTGGACGATGTATTGGGGCAGATGCTTCACAGTAATTGGGTATGTCCCTGTCCATAGCGCCTGACAGGGGCACACCAGAAAAAATTCGGCGGTCCGAAAGGGCATATTCCTCTCTACCCACATCTTATAGGGGCATTTTGGTATATATCTCAACTTATGAGGGTATTTTGGGGAAATCATCCCGTATAGGGATAATTTGCAAAATACCCCCATAAAGGGGTGATTTCCCTGCCCCAATACCCACTGCTCTCGAAATGTTACCAACCGAGAGTGAATCTTCTGCTAGAACATGGAAAGATACACCACCACCACCACCACCACCACCATAATTTTTGTCTTTTGTGCATGTCGAGAGTAGTGAAGCGAGGGCCCTATACATCTAATCGATTTTCTTTTATTTTTTATTTTTTTTTAATCAAATCGCTGTAACTACATCTATATCCATAGACACAAAGATTCCGGGCCAAAAGGGCATTCCGCGCTACCCAATTACTTTGGAGCATCTGCCCCAATACATCGTCCAAATTCCCAATAGGGGTGGCCATCATTCAGATCAGCCACAAAATCGATGAAGGGGTGGCCATCATTGAGATCAGCCCCAAATACCCATAAGGGGTGGCCATCATTGAGATCAGGCCCAAATACCCAAAAGGGGTGACCATCATTGAGATCAGCCACAGGAAAAAAAAAAAAGGAAAAAAAAAAATCGCTACTGCTCTGTGCATCGGTAGTTTCTGCTGCTGCTACAGAGAAGATTAGCATGGACGAGTCGCACAAATCGAGAAATGGTCCCAAAAAAAAAAAAAA